TATATATATATATATATATAAATTTATGTATATGTATATTAGCGTAAATACATATATATAGATATGTATATATATAAATATATTTAATTGTGTGTGAGAGAGAGAAGGAAGACGAGCAAAAAGATTACGTCGAGACACATCTGATTTATCCGTGTGGCGGATTATTATATTTGTGTGTGTATATGTATATATATATATATATAAAAAATAAAAGAGTATAAATAATGATACGTCGCATATTCCTTGAGCGGGAGAATATGCGAGTTTATTATTAGACGAATGAGGGTAAGAAAAATGGCAAACAAAAGTATCCGATATAATATGATCAAAGGCTGCAGTCCTACCGTATATATATATATAAATATATACACACTTGGATGCGTGTAAAGAGAGAGAGAAAAGAAGATGAACAACAACAAAAGCAACAAAATAAAAAATGATAAAACTAAATAAAATGGACACTTTGTAGATAGATTACGACGTTGGGGGTAAATTTAATACGCAACAAATAGTTATGGATTATAAAATGAAAAAAAAAAAAAACAATTAAAATTAATATTTACGCAAACAATACATATTGTTTACATTATCTAGAATTATTACTGGGGAAAATAAGTAGGGGTTAAAATAGAATAATAATGAAAAGAGGAATGTAGTGCATACGTGTATACATAGTACTGATATGATGAGTGTATGCTGATGCGACAGCAGGGGGTTAAGGGGGAGGGATGTACAGGAGGCGTATGTAAAAATAAAACGCCGGTCAAAGAATCATGTAAAGGAATGGGGAAAAAAAAACAAAATCTTTATTTAGCGATATCTAAACTGAAATGAAATGAAAATGAAAACGAAGCGAAATGAAATGAAATGAAATGAAATGAAATGAAATGAAATGAAATGAAATGAAATGAAATGAAATGAAATGAAATGAAAAAAGAAAGAAAAGGCGTATCCGATAAGTAAGTTGTTCATGTGTATATTTTTGTAAATAGATATATGTGAATGCCGCCGCCTTGAGGGTGATCCATGTCGTAGTTTATACTAACGACGGATCAAAAAACCCTAATTTTTGCTACCACAGATCTTATCGAGAATCGGGTCCCTTCTGGTTAACAATAACGCATGTATACATACACAAGCGTATCGCATACACACACACACGACATTATTTACACGTAAAAACACACACACATAAAAGTGCGCGCGCATACACATGGGGAAAAAAAAAACGAAAAAAAAAAAAAAAAAACTAACTAACAAACAAACAAACATACAAACAAATAATACCGTTTGAATCAATTCATCTTGGATTATTTATGATACAGAGATCATCATCCTCTTTAGGATCCAAAACCCTGTCGTCCAATTTTTTGGTTTTTTTTTTTTTTCTTCTTCTTAACTTTTCTTTTCCTATTCTTTTTTTCTTTTTCTCTTCTATTCTCCTCCTCCTCCCCCCTCCGCTGTTCACAAAATATTCTTTTTCGTCTCGCATCTCACCACTCATCGATTCCGTCTTCGTTCAACGATTTATTTTTTTCTTTTTTTTTTTTTTTTTTTTTTTTTTAACTTTATTTTAATTCAATTTTTTATGTATATATATATATATTTTACTCTATAATATTACTCGCGTGTGCGTCTATAAGTTCCATCATTTTTTACGAAGTGATCGAACAATAATATTTAATGCGTATCGAAGCAATGATATGTTAATTCGCGAATACAAATTAAACAACACTCGGGTTTATATTATTTTTGTTTGATTCGTTAAATTAGATCCGATCAAATTGACAAATAAAACAACAACAACATAAAATTAGTATTAAAAGAAGAAAAAAAAAAGAAAAAGAAGGAAAAAAACGAAGAAGAAGAAGAAGAAGTTAGTTAATGTTTTCTTTAACGTTTAAAATGAACAATAATAATATTTGTATAATCGAATATGAAAATCGGTAGCGATACTATTTCACTTTTGTGTCTAAAATAAATCGGACCAAAATCATTTAATTACGAATTTTTAATCATTCGATACAAAAGTGTCACGGTTTCGATATCTTTCTATCTTTCCTTTCTATTTCTTTCCTATTTTTCCCCCATTTCTCTATCTATCTATCTATCTCTCTCTCTCTCTCTCATTCTCTCTCTATAATTCTTTTTTTTTTTTTTTTAATAATACGAAGGATGCGTTCTTTGCAACAACAGCAACAATAACAACAACAACAACAAAAATCAATAATAATAATAATAATAAAAAACGATATGAAAGAAAATAATGAAGGAATGTGTTAAAACAGACTAGGACAAATTAAAAATCGTCGAGTTGGCTGGTCAACGAATGTCCCTATAGTTACTAAGCGCGTGGTCCAATGGTTCAGGGGATACAATTTTTATATTTTCTGTGTGTGGTTCATCGCACGTTCGTTGCAATTTAAATAAATGCCAACGACGAGCAAAGTAATAAAAACAAAAAAAATAAAGAGAAGTAAAAATAATAAAAAATAAAATAAAATAAAATAAAATAAAATTATATTAAATAAAAATAAATAACGAAGAGAGAGAGAGAGAGAGAGAGAGAGAGAGAGAGAGAGAGAGAAAATAAACGTGAAGTGAATCAACAAAAGGACAATGAAAAGAAACATTGTTAATAAGAAATAATGGAACGAAGTTAAAGGATTGAAATACCACCCCATAAGCAGCGATTGATTAAATTGACCGCGCGAAATGGGTGTGTGTTCATTAAAAATTTATTAAAATTGAAAGAAAAAAAAGAAAAAAAAAGGGAAGGATAGTAATAATAAAAAGGGATAATGATGAAACGTTGTGTGAATATTTTCGAGAGACACATATTTTTTAGCGGATACGTATATCAGGCGCGTTTACCTGCCAACTCGTACGAATTACGTCGACGAAAAAAAGTTAAAAAGAAAAATAAAAGTTGTTAGGAAAAAAGGGCGATTGTATCATCGGATGCGACACGTTTGTTCGTCAATATCGAACATTATTAATATTTTTTTTGTTTTTTTTTTCTTCTTCTTGTTTTTCTTTGCGTGCGATATAATAATTTTTAAGTTGTATATATTTTAATCTCACTTTTAATAATTCTCAAATGTGTATTCTTTGCAAAAGTTTGTCCGAAAAGTTCATGTCGATTTATATATATATAAAAAAAAAAAAGAAACAAATATATATATATATGTATATGTGTGTATATATAGGTATATATATTTAAACAAAAAAAAATATATAGAAAATCTCGATGCCTTGGAATTTTTCTTTAAAATCGGTACGAAATCTTCTTCCGGACGAACTTTAAAATTTAATTATTACATTTCTTCTTCTTCTTATTCTTATTCTTCTACCCCCTTCATATTATTTTCCATTTCTTTTCTTATTTTTATCTTCTTTTACCCTCGCGAATATGCATTGCTTCCGATAAGAAAAAGAAAAAGAAAAAGAAAAAAAAAAAAAAAAGAAAAAGAACTATAATAAAGTGCGTCTTACCGCCTCTGCTCGCCAAGCATGACGATGATCATTTGGTTTTTCTTTTTTTTCTTTTTAATAATAATAATAATATTTAAAAGGCATATGTACACACACGACTTTATTGTACTTTATTTTATCTCTTATTTTACTAATCTTGTTTTTTTTTTTTTTTTTTTCTTCGTACAACAGTCGAATCTTGTTAGAAAAATTATGCACACGTTGCAAGACACTCACTCTACTCGTCGTAATTTTATTAACCAACAACAAAATTAACTAATCAACGTTTTCACTTTCCCCTCTCGACCCACAATGAAATTCCTTTGGAATTCTATGATTGAGTTTCGTTATATAAGACTGGCACAATAATCATTAATTAATTAAAAACAAAAAAAGAAAAAAAATATTAACAATAAGTAGGGGGAAAGCAAAAGTATTGTAAAGAGAATGGAGGGGGGGTGAGAGGATATTCTTGCAACGTGCAACCAAACAAACTAATTACAAAATAATTAAATAACGTGTTAGTGATGGGAACAGTTGAAATTCATATTTTTAACAACTACTTAATAATAATTTTTCTAACGAAATTCGACTGTATATTACCAGACCGTTTTACTATAATTATACATAGATATATACATATGTTTACATATATGTGTATGTTTGTATATGATGTATGTAAGTATGTATCTATGTATGTATTTATGTATATTACGTAAATCGTGTCGAGACGACGATATGTTTTGAACAAATCTACGTTCCTATAGACCTCCAAAGATAATTCGAAAAGGTGCTTTCAATCGAGAGGGAACGCTAGGCGAGAGATCATTTTTTATTCGGAAAAAATAGTTTCTCTTGATCCTTTATACATATTGTCAATTATTTCCTTTATCCTGTTTTCTTTTTTTTTTTTTTT